TATAAGGTAGCGGGTGATTTGATATCACAAATTTTATATGATAACCAGCACTTAGTTTAGACTCAGAAAAATACTTTGTGCAAACAAGAAAGGGGACTGCTGTTGACAAGCTTCTTGTCATTGTAAGTAGTTCAAAAAGCTTGAGAATCATCAGATACTTGTGTCGGGAGGGTGCTTGACCTACATTACCTAGACTTTTAACTATGGTTTTATTTTATAATTACCTAGTTCCTTTTTTTTTTCTGTGCTAGAGATTGAATCCAGGGCCTCATGCATGCTAAGTATGCACTCTACCACTGATCTATATTATAACCCCCAGCCCATTTCTTGTTAATAATCTACTATCTGAAATCTTGATTCTGAAATCGGTCTGTCTGGGGGAAAAATTTACCCTTTATTATAAAACTCAGTAATTAAAAATAAGACTCACAAAGGGTATATGACACTAGGTGTAGGTGATGCACACCTGTAATCCCAGCTAATTGGGAGGCAGAAGTAGGAGGATCAGGAGTTCAAGGGCAGCTCAGACAAAGGTAGGGAGACACTATCTCAAAAACAAAACACAAACAAAAGAGCTGGAGTCATGGCTTACATGGCAGAGGACTTTTCTAGCATGTTTGAGGCCCTGGGTTCAATCCCCAGTATTGAAAGAAAGGAGAGGTGTTTAAACACTTTAAAAGGGAAAGAAAAATTTGCTTAAAGGCAAACTCTACACGCTTCTATAAAGACAAAATGCCAGAGAAATTACCTTATCAGAGGAGACTCCAGACTTTCCCTTTGGTCTTTGTAAAAATTGAAAATAAAACTTTAAGATGTGACATTTGAAATACTATCTGAACATGTCAATTCACACTCATTGTAAAGGCTGCTGACACATAGCCAGCACATAAATAATTCTTAGAAGGGAAACTGCCATTTTTTAAGGCTGAGTTCAGGAACTGTTGGCGAACTGGGAAGCTGGCCAGGGGAGCCAGGGACTCTGAGTCAGCTTTGGGGTGTGACTCTGCAGTGTGAGCTGACTCCTCCCACTCCCTAGCAGAGGGTGGAGGGCAAGTGGGAGAGAAGCATCAAGCTATAAAAAGCTTTATGTTTTATTTCCTTCTAAGGCATCCTGAGTCACTGGGTGCTCCAGCCCTCCAGTGCTGGGAGTTCAACTCAAATCGGAAATGTGTATATGTGGTTTTGTCTAAACCTGAGCTGCTGACAAACCAGATGACACTGTCACTTGGACTGAATCTCTTACAAGCCATGGTGGCTTCCTATTTCCGTCCTAGGAAGAGAATGGAAGTCACGTAATTATCAGTTTTTCTGACCCTGGTTCCAATATTACATCATGGTCTTAACAGAAAGCTTAACCTCCACTCCACCCCCAATATGGAGCTGCTGAGAATTTTTAAGTCCCATTTGTCATCTCAAAGGACACAGCTCCTACACTATTTTGCCTCCCACTCTTTAGGCTGCAGTTTCAATCACACAGAGTGTTGCCAAACCAACTTGGTCAAAATCCTAGAACATCACGGACAGAAGGTGCCAGTCCAATAATCTTATTTTACCAAAGAGGAAACTGAGGCCCAGAGATGGAAAGGAACCTGCCCAAGGCTACAAAGCAACAGAACCAAAACTTCCAGGCCTACAGTCTTGCAGCAAAGCTCTGTGCCCAGGGTGGCGCCTATGTCCCTGTAGTCAGATTCTGTATACAGGGAGGGCTGGTTCAAAGCCCCCTGGAAATGTGTCTCAAGACTTTTGGTCAAAGCAGGGCTCACCCTGTGATCTTTCCCCTTCTTTTCGGTTCTGCTTGTGCAGAGTGGGAAAGCAACCAGGTGAAGCAGCCTGGGAAAGAGCTTTCTGCAATAGAAGGGTCTAGGAACCAGGGTCTGGAAGCTCTCAACACCAGGCGCCTGAGTGGAAGCTATACCCCACCCCACTTTCCTCAGTGCCCATCCTCAAGTGGGCCAGAGTAGGCACTTCCGCCACTTAAAATTCCCACCCTATTTTTAAAATGAATTAATATAAATCCCAGAGATATTAACGTCAAATTAATCTGTGGTGTACATTTGCTATATGAACCATGCATAAATATTAACAAACCAAGAGATTGGGTCAAAAATGTCAAGTGTTAACACCCAAACTACTTAAAACTAGAGTAAGGCGGCCATGAGATGTTATCTACAGTATCTCTGGTCCCTCACGCTCACCTGCTGTACGAGAGCCTAGGTGGAATTCCACCCAAGGACAGGTACATCTTGTTCAGAGAGCAGAAGGATAGGAAGCTATGGAAGCTAAAAACCTACACAGTTCGCAGTTAGAGATGAAAGGCTGCAGAAATGTTTATTGAATACAGTGCCAGGTTTATAAATAAAACTTATTTACAATTTCCATAGAGTTGGTCCCCCATCAGAGAGGTGGTTAAATCTCCAAACAGTTTATCTCAAGATTTACAGAAACGTTCAAGTACATCTCCTTTCCAAATAGCCATTGTGAAGGGAAGCTTCGGTAACAAAAGAACCACCACCATCTTTGCTACAGAAGTGTTTAATGAACATTGTAATAGATTTGGAGAAAGAACACACACTCCACCCAAGCTACTCCCTTCTTACTTCAAGGGATAGACAGCAAAGAATTCTGTCTCCTTCACAACAACTTCCAGGGATTAAAAAAACAAGAGTAACTGCCAGCTGAGGGGAGAGATTAAGACACGCTAGTGGAAACCTAGTCACTGCCAAAAGGAGAAAAATATTTAGGATATACAATAAATAATTCAAATGGTTAAGATGAAGAATTGAATGAACTAAGAGTAGACTTGACCAAAATTTACATTCTTTGTTCAGGAAGAACTTCCCAAGATGCTGAGGGGCTAATAATATGCTAATTCCTTTGATGTGACAGAAGCACTAGGCTTACTGGACAGCCATTCATTACAATATTGGTACAAGTACAGTTGGACATGCATTTATAAAGAGAATATAAAAATATGTACAATAGCTCATCTTCAATGTGGTTAAAGTCGCCGAAAGACACCAATTAAAGTGTGCAAAAATTTGTCAAAAAATCAGAAAAAGCCTTCCCTGGCAACAGTGCATCAAAAGCCCGTCTGAAGTATAGAGATCCATTTGTCTTACTCAACACCTACCCCAAACAGATGGAAACGAAACTGTGAAAGGATTTGCCAAGGATTGAGCAGTTTCTTATGGCAAGTCACAGGCTAAAGCAGGACACCAGTTAAACTAGTTATTTTATATATATAAATATATGTATATATTTATAGAGTAGTGAAAAGTAGGGGCAAGAGTGTACAGGAAGGTGCTACTCGATGTCAAGGGTCCGGCCGGGACACCCAGCTCTTTCCCCTTGCAAAGTCACACCGACTGCTAATGCCAACCCCTGGGCTGTGTGGCCCCCAAATGCCAGGGGAAAGCTGCAGTGGACTCTGCCTCACCTCTGCTCCAACACAGAACGCAGCATTCCCTTAAGAGGGTCGAGGGGTTCTGGTTCCCATGCAAGATCCTGGCCACACAAAAATCCTGTTTCAGTCTTGTAGGACAGGCTGTGGGACTGCTAACATGGAGTCCACCCAGCTTCTAGACAGACTTGGTAAAAGGTTAAAATAGGAGGTGTAAGTTTTTTAAAACAAGTCAAGTCACCTGGCCCCCAACCCCCTTTGAAACTACTAAGAAGTCACTGACTACAAGCCTAAGGCCAAATCAACTTGGCTGTTCAAACCCCCCTACAACAAACACCTAGGCCATTCACTTACGGGAACAAGAAGCCCTTAGAACTCCCTATCTCACCAGAGAAACCCCAAGGTATTCTTAGGTGTTCCTTGCAGATTCAGGAAATTATACAGCCAACCCTTAGTTCACGGTGTCATCTTCTACTCTATCAAGCACCCAGTCCAAGGACTAGTAGCAGAACCACACGGGCAATGTCTCCTCTCCACTGCTCTTACCCATCCCTCTGGCAGAAAATCTAACAAGCTACAAAATGCCAGAAAGACAGGGAGTAGGAGAGGGAGGAGAAGCCAAGGGTCTCTATGAATCAGCCCTGAATGCACCCATTTGGTTGCCAAGAGCTTCTCACTGCCTCGATAGCGGCCTGCCACCATCCCCCAGCAAATTAAAACCACCCACATGAACTCTCAGAACCCAAATCTCCTTGCTCATTAGGTAGAACCAGTTAACACTCTGAAAAATGCACATCCAGCTTTCATTTCAAAAGAGCTCTACACTAAAATGCAATATGCTTTTAAGGGGGCTTTTTAAATGGACCAGCGCCACTGCAAAGACCAGTACCAGCATGTCTGAGTTTTGGTTACAGGTTTATAATTAGATATGAAATTCACTCTGGGCTAGGGTTTTACTTTCAAGCCAGAGACTTAGTATTAGTTCTACTTGGGGGCTGGGGAGCAAAGTCAAGTCAACTTATGAAGAAAAAAAAATGCAAAAGGAGGCTAAGGTTAAGTATAATAATAAATTAAGAACTGTGAATCAAAAGGTGACTGGTAGTGTCTTTTAGTCATGAAGAGACTGGCTTAGAAAAGGACTACTGCTTCTACCACACACAGCAAGGATTGAATTACACACTAAATCATGTCTCTTGCACAGATGGTCTTAAGTAGTTACATAAAATAGGTAAACAGCAGCACAATTGAGAAGAACCCCTAAATACATGCTCGAGAAAGTGGTTTTTTTTTTCCCTCCGTTAAGAGCTCGACAGCCTGAATAAATCATTAAGTTACCATGATTTGCCTCCCCCTCCCCCCAAGAGAAAATGCAACTAGATTTACATGGCCCTAAGTAATAAAGCCATCAGTACCTGCTGTTTTTAGGAAGGTCTTAGGTTCAGAGGTTGGTGCTGGGAACTTAGGAGGGAAGGAAACCCAATACTGGGCTGTGGGCATTTAACTGTACAGTGGCCTCCCCTCCACCTGCCTTGTCCCCCTTCAGATCTCAGCTTTACAAAGCATTTAACACCACTTTAAGTTAATGGTCTTTTTATTGGAAAAAAAAAAAAAAAAAAAGACTAGCATTTACAACTTGGAATGGATGTAAATTATAATTTCTTGAACAGCAATGTTGATGGTTGTGCTGAAGTCCACAGCCACAGCCTACTCTGCTGGCTCCAAGTCTGGTTCAGAAGATTTTAAAAACAGAGAGTCCAAAGATGCTCCCTTGGTAAAGATTTCTTATTAAAAATTTGTGTGATTGGTGACAGCCTGACACCCATTTCACTCTAGTACAATGCAGACAATGCTAACAACCAAGATACTTGGATATGCCACCAGGGTGTGTCATTGTCACCATGGGTCGGAGCACATGGGGTGAAGTACAAGAGGACCATCCCTACTACTGGGGCTACATCTCAAGTTTATCCTTCACCCATTTTCTGCATATCATCCTGAGGTAAACCAATTTTAAATGTATTTGTTTTCAGTATACCAGCTATGACAATTTATACTAACAAACTGAACTAGAACCCATCTGAATAGGTTTTGATGTTTTTTCATTTTTTGGTTTTAATACAAATGCCTGACTGTGCTCAATCGTCAAGCTGCATGCATGAAAAACTGGCCAGCCCAAACAGTGTATTAATCATTAGCAAATGGAACTTTAAGGAGTCCACTAAGTGCTTCCTTATCATTAAGGTAGTACAAGTATTTATATTGTAAAACTGATGTGTAGCTTGATCTTTAGGGGACAGGACCACCAACCAATACATGCAGATTTTGTGTGTGTGGACAGAAGGTACTTTTGACATTCAGTTTTGCTATATAGAAACAGAATGAATAAATGAACTTTTTCCTTTTTTTTTTTTTTTTTTTTTGCAAGAGGTAAGTAAAAGATTCAATTTGATTCTTCTAGAGGGGGAAAAAGTTGAAAGTAGGTCTTCATTTTGCAGTCATCATCTGTACGAATTCTGAAAAGACAAATAATCAACTTTTGGTTATCTTCAAAAGCAGCTCTGATGAATGCAACATCTCTACTCTATATCCATAAAATTAATGAATGTCTAGAGAAAACACTTAGCTTGTAAAAAGATCCTAAAGACAATTTAGTTTTTTTACCTTCATAGTTGACTTGTCCATCTCCATCAATATCTGCTTCTCTGATCATTTCATCTACTTCTTCATCTGTTAGTTTTTCTCCTAAGTTTGTCATGACGTGACGTAGCTCTGCTGCACTGATGTAACCATTTCCATCCTGTGAACATTTGGTGATTATTATGGATAGTGGCTGATAGCAGTTTGAGGTGAACAAGGTCTTTGACTTAATTATACCCCCTCTCAAGTTACTGCCAACTCTGCTCACATCAACACTTCTCCCATCTCCAGTTCCCACTTCTAACCTACTAAACACATGCAGTCAACAAATGCAGAAAACATAGAGGGTATTTCCAAAACCTAACACCGAAAGTATCAATAAAAGCTGGTTCAGAATTTCTATTATGCCTCCTCTCACCCAATAATGTTACTAAAGAAGTCAGTATATTTGAAAGTGAGATCAGAGGCAGGTAGGCTGTGCTCTACCTCTAACTGACTGCTATAGCTTTCAGGACTGGTAAGCCAAAAAAAGCTGCTTTGTGTACCATCTACAGCGCAGTTGCAGGATTACCTTGTCAAAGACTCGGAATGCCTCACGGATTTCTTCTTCACTATCTGTATCTTTCATTTTTCTAGCCATCATAGTCAAAAATTCTGGAAAGTCAATGGTGCCGTTACCTGAAATTGAAAAACAAAAAGCTCATTTAAGATAGGTACCTCTCTGCAGTAATTATTTTGCAACCACTATATGGAATGGTTAAGCAGCTGCTAGAACAAAATGAGAAAACTATTTTATTAGGGTCAACCTTTTAGAGGCCTAAAAGGTTCAAATATTTCACAGAACAACTTCATGTGATTATTAACACCCAAGAGCATTTGGTGCAAAAGAAATGGCACACCTAGATTCATGACCACAGAATGAGGTGGACGGTTCAAGGGGAAGCAGTTTACAAGGCCTTCCCACCCAAGAGAAGCATTCGTGCTTGCCTGCCCCGAGTTAGGGAGATCACCGGATCACCCAGGTCTAACTCTACCCTTGGCTAGGGAGGCCAGTAATATACAATCTGTGTTAGAGGCAAATATGAGAGAAGGAAAAACTGGCTGTTATGCCATGGGCCATACATAGTCTTCAAAAGTACTCTTAGAGCATTTCTCAGTCATATTATGCTAATCACCTGATCACTTTTCTCTCCAACTCAGGTTTTTGTTTTGGTGCTGAGGATTAAACCTATGTGCCCTTGCATGCTAGGCACATACTCTAGCACTGAGCTACACTCCCAGCCCCCAATTCAGCATCCTATTTTCCATTAAAGGAAAATCTCAGAAGCATTTGCACATTTTAGACCACTAACATTTAGGAAAATGTGTCAAAAGAATCCACTCTATGGCCAGTATTCATTCCAACAACTCCCCTAAAACTAAGAGATGAACACCCCTAAAGACAAGCCTCTAGATTAACACTGTGACTTAAATTAAATGGAAACAAAATGAGAAAAAACTCCTTAGGCTACATTACTCATTTCACCAGTACCTTTAAAACAAAATAATCCTGGGACTGAGGTGTACAGCTTAGTTGTAGAACACTTGCTTAGCCTGTGCAAGGCCCTGGGTTCAAAAAAAACCCCAGAGATCCCTAATTCTTTTGGTCCTCCAAAATTTTAAATCATTACGGACACTTAAGAAGACAAAACAAATTATCTTGAAATGCTATCTCACAACCATGCAAAGATGTCCCTAGGTAACATCCTATTTATTCAGGGCAAATACAGGATTCTTCAGCTTGATACATCTTCTCCCCGCCTTGTTACACACAATCTGAGGGCAATCTACACTTTTTCTAGCCTCAAACCTGGCTTTGCAGAATTTACACAAGACAGGAGGAGCTACTACCCCATGTTCCCATATGGCTGTTCCTTAACAATCAAACTAAACAGAACTATTTAAAACAAATATTAAGAATGAAAGCAATCTTTAGAGGTAGCTCTAAATGGGCACAAAAAGCTCTGTCAAGAAGCTTAACCAAGAGTTCTGTATGTTTGAGACAAATGTAATTTTACAGAAGCACTTGTGCTCCCACATTTTTCTAAATGGCTACCAGCAAGTCAATCATCTAGGAAGTAAGTTCTAGATCCAAACTGTTTATTTTTAGTTCTTTTGAAGGTTGCTTTAAAATCTATCCACTGACAGGAAATGCCCTGCTGTCCACTGCTGTAATCTAGGGAAATGAACAGCACTGCTCCCTGCACAGCTCCCCATCTCTTAGGTTCTGCAGATCTCTTCCCTATAAGTCATGCATCCTCTTCAGCAAACACCTGCAGCTCACACTGCACTCAGTTCTAGGTAACTTCAAGGAGTGCTCTTCACCCACTGCACTTGGGGAGGTTTCTTTTTTTTTCCCCCCAATTTTTTTTATCTTGTGGTGGTACTGAGGATCAAATGCAAAGGCCTTCAGACTTGCTAGGCAAGCACTCTACCACTTGAGCTACATCCCGGCCTTTTATTTTTTTACTTATTTATTTTTGGTAGTCAGGAGATTTGAACTCAGGGCTTTGTGTTTGGTAGGCAGGTGCTCTACCACTTGAGCCATGCTCCCAGTCCAGACAATAAGGTTTTTGAAAAAACAGGTTCCATGGCTATTTATTTTTACTTCCCCGCACTGGACTCAGTGTAGACTCATGGGCCAGTTGATAATTTGAGCTGTAGGTCACAGTACGTGGAAAAGAACAATACAGTGACCAGATACAAGAAATGTTCTAGACAGTGAACAGGGGGAGGGTCAAGTCCATAGTCTTCTCTTTTAATGTTAGTGGCTGTAAGGGAACCACGGAAAGGAACTTTGCACACCTGCTGTTCTCTGGGAACCTGAAAAACAATCACAACCGTGTCCAAACTTGAATCGCACACGACTGGTGCTTCACAGTTCTATAGCCCTTACCGTCAGCGTCCACTTCATTGATCATATCCTGCAACTCTGCTTCTGTTGGGTTTTGACCCAGTGACCTCATGACAGTCCCAAGTTCCTTTGTTGTGATGGTGCCATCACCATCTTTATCGAATAGGGAGAAAGCTTCCTTGAATTCTGAAAACAAAAATTGACCTTTTAGAATAAACGTCTTTACCCAACCCAGCCCCGATACACACTTCCCTGGGGCTTTCCATAGAAAGCTGTCCAAGTTGTGCAAGTTATCAGAAACTGTCTGGTCCTTTACTGAAATAAAGACCACGATAGCCCTGTTCATCTAGCCTTCATAAAGCAACCCATAAATAAAAAACACCGCTCCTGGTAACCAGTTCCATACCACAATATTCTCATAATCTTAAATGAAGTTCGAACATCTTAAATTAGTCCTAAATCCAATCTGGCCTGAGAAGATTGGTCCACACATTCCCTTAGAGTCCCTTGGTGCTAAATTCCTACAGCCATAAAAACCCCTTGTTTCATAGCAACACGAAAAGGTTAGTAGAAGAAAAGTACACTCCCAGGCAGCTAACATGTTCTCTTTACACTACATTCAGAATATTTTAGAAGTATTCCTGGTTTCCTTAAGAGAAACCATCTCAAAAGAGGTCCTTCAGGAATATTAAAAAGCTAAAAAAATCTAAACTAATGTAATTCATTTTCTAATTCTTACAGTGGTCCCAACACTCATATTCATCCAACAATAAAAGCTTTCAAGGTGGAATACAAAAAGACCTGTAGCATAAGAACTGTAAACTTGGTTTCTGGGTAGCAGGGTCATGCAATCTCATTATATGCAAAGCTACGTACACGACACTCAAGACATGCCAGAGTATAGCAAGTGGGCTTTCTGAGTTCCACTTCCTTCCACACTGTCACTAAAAGACTGACCTGAATGTTTCTGCTTACAGTTTTCATTTAAGTTATTAGAAAACTTCTCAGATAGTGGGAAGGAATAGAGGAGACATCAAAACTGAGTCAGAAACTAGTTCTGCCTTCTGGAGATTCCTCAGAGTGGTCAACTTACCAGCAATCTGTTCCTCAGTCAGTTGATCAGCCTACATGGAGAAAGAAAAGGTTTTAGTTCAATCCAGGACAGTTTGATTGACAGGAATCTAGTTTTTCCAATTGTACTTTAATATTGTGATTGTTTGAGTCAATGTTAACAACAAAAAAAATCAATGGACTGAAATCACTAGCACTTGTCATTTAATGAAGGTGATTACAACAAAGGAAACCACTTATGCTAGTTTAACAATAAAAGTTAACAAGGAAGCAACAACACTGCTGGCTTCATGTTTTCTTCTCTGGCCTGCAGCTAGCAGCAGGCTCTAAAATCTCACCAGGAAGGGCCAGTTCCTGATGTGAAAAATGGCACCTCTAGTGGTGAAAGGCTCCGCTGCACGGTGCTGCAGCAGCAGGCTGAGCAAGAAGAGCGCCACCTACTGTGCCACCAACACAGCAGTCCCCGCTTCCATACAAGGGACCCAGCCCAAGGCCGTTGCCACCGCAGCCAGTCTCGGGATCTTGTCCAGGGGCAGGCTTTTAGCGCACCTTGCGCATGGCTTCAGGCCCTAGATACCTCCAAACTGGCGTTACATAATGGCTTTGGACTGGATTACAGGCTTTTATATCCATTTTATGAGAGACAATTAAGTGGAAAAAATAAATAAATAGCAATGGGTTACCCCACCAGCTTCATTTCCACGTTATAAATGCTTTCCAATCATTTAGACTAAGCAGTTATTTTTTAAAAGCCTGCCATTTACAATGGTTAATGCCTTCAAATGATACTATGATTCAGAAACCGGGCATAAAATGGAACTATCTTACAACAATGTTGTTAAAAAACTACAAAAATTAAGCACACAGAAAACTGCACAATAATTATGAGGCAATCTCTCTCTCTTCTGGTTAAGAGAAATAACTATTAAATTTCCTGGTGAGTATTTAAGCCTACATACCTAAGAATGACGTAAGAGCTGCTCATAATAAATACTATTCGAAGTGATAATGGCCATAAAGATAATTCTCACTTGGATTATTTGATCTTGCATTTTTTGGGCTCTGCAAGGCTGAACCTGTGCCTCCAGCCAGGGGAATTCAAGATCTCAATAAGAGATTTTATTTTATTTTAATGAAGGACGCATAACGAAGCCAGTTATAAAATAGGTCCTATCAGAAAGTTGATGGCGTTAAAGTTTATTCTCTTAAGTGGAAACTTTCACCGCAGGAATGGTGTTCTAATCTATTGACTGGGGGGGCTTATTTTCACAAACTGTAAGTGGGTCTTCCTTATTGCCCGTCACTTAAAGCTACTTTTCTATAAAACATTTGAAGACGACACGGTGATTTATGTAATGCCAGTGCAACGTCTGTCTGGGACAACAGGAAGCGCTGCAACACCTCGTAAGAGAAATTGTCACCTTACCGGGAGAACAGTCCCACCTCCACGCAAAACACTCGTATTAAGAGGGCTATCAAGAGCATCCTGCTTCTCTACCTCCAAATCGTTGTTCTCAGAGGGCAAAGGTGTTCCAGACCGAGCTGGGAACCACCACCCCACGCGTCAGGCAGACAGCGCTGCCGGTGATGTCAGCCCTGCCGGCCGAGGGAGGAAGGGGGCTGTGGAAGACGCACCCCACCAGACGCACGGTCGCATCTGGCAATCTAGAGGCTGCACGGAAAGCGGAAACGTGGGGGGCATCTCCCAGCAGGCCGGGAAGTGGCGCAGGGCCGGACAGGGCGCGTGCCAAGGGCAGGCGGAGGCGAGGGGGTCCCAGGGCGGGGAAGCTGCCCCTTCCCGGCTACAGCGCGACCCCCCCACACACAATTCCCAACACCGACTCCCAGGCCGCGGCCAGAGCCACTCGCACCTCCCACCCGCTTCTGCTCCCCCAGGCGGCGAGCCCGCCGCGCCGCCGCCTCCTCCTCCTCCGGAGCAGAAACTTTGCGTCTCTAATGGAAACCGAGCCGCGCGCCAGCTCTCTCCTCCCCCGTCCCCCCCCCCGCCCCAATTAGAACGAGCCGAGCGCCTCCCGCGGGAAGGGGCCTCCAGGCGCTCGCACGCCTCTGCCGCTGCACCGCACCGGGCGGGGGGTCGAAGGGTGCGAACCCCGGGACACACGTCCCGGCCACACAGCGGGCCCCGCCCGGGCGCAGGGCGGCCGATCGGCCCGCCGCTTCCGCCCTCTCCGCCCCCCACCCCTCGCCTTCCTGCCCCCACCCCACCCTTCCCCGGCTCCTTCCTTCCCAGCCCACGCCCGCGCCGCGCCCCCCGGGAGGAAGGAGGGGTCAGTGGCCGAGGGAGGGTGCCCCAACTGGGTCGGCGGTGTGGGGGGTGGGGGTCGGCAGCTGGCCGCGCCCCGGACCCCGCGGCCGGAGCGATGTGCGCCACCGGCTCCCTCCGGCCCATTCATTCTCCTGGGTGCGGGAGGAGAAAGGAGGTGGGGGGAAGTTCTGTGCCCGGCCCCGCCCGGCTCCCCCGCCCCCCCGAGGCCCGAGCTGAGGCGCAGCGCTGCAGGGAGCCCGGGTGCGGCGCGCTGGATGCGGTGGGTGCGGGGCTGGGGGAGGGGGTAGATGCGGAAGGCCCCGGTGCAGCTGTAGCAACAGCCCCAGCCCGCGGACAGCCCACGGTCAAGTCCAGCTCCAAGGGATCCAACATTTGACGGAGGATCTCTGGCAAAGAAAACCAAGATGCAAACACGAAATGCATCCTTTTTTAACCGCAGCTGCTGCGTAACACCCGGTACAGAGAAACACCTACTCCCCACCCCAACCAGAAAAAAACCAAAAAAACAAACTAAGAGCCAACCAGAAATCTGGGAAGAAATCTTGGGCAGCTGCTACACCGGCGTTTGCGGCTCCGGACCTACCATGGTGCGAGCGAAGGGACGAAGAGGAGTGGGAACGAAGGTGGCTGCACCAGCGCAGTGGCTGTGACGGCCGGGGAGCCTCCGCTTCTGCTGCTGCTGCTTGCTGCTGCTGCTAACGCACGGTGTGCGCTGTGCCGCCGCCGCCTGCACCGCCGCCCGACTGACTGCGAGTAACGGCACGGCGTCCACGAGCCTCCCAGCACCACTGCCTGAGCGCGAGCCTGCGCGCCGCGCAATATATACGGCACGCCGTATCCCTCCGCCGCCGCGGCGCCGCCTCGCGCAGGGCGGCCCTGCGGTGGCCGGGCCTTGCCGGTTGGCCCCGCCCTCCAGCCCGCCCGGCCTCCCGCCGCCCCCTGTGCGCCTGCTGCGGCAGGCCCTGCTGGGGATGGGGACCTGGACGCGAGTGGTGCGCGCGATCGCGGGTACAGGTGCGGAGAAGGTCCTCTAGAGACACCCCGCCGGAGTCCGGGCGAGTCGGAGCACCTGCTTGTCTCGACCTGAGTATCGGCCCTGGGCTTCACGTCTGCCCCTCCACCCAGCAGCAACCCGCCTGTGTGACCCTCCCATCTCTACTCTCCAGCCTCTCCACTGGGCTGCAGTGTAGCGCTGGCCTCTCGCCCTTGGGTCCCCAGCTGCCGATTCCAGTTGGGGGAGCTGCAGGAGGTCCTGGGGCTGGGGGCAGTCCTGGGGCTGGGGGCAGTCGCGGGGAAGTGGGAGCAAGGAATTGACCACACACCTTTATCTGCTCTGGAGAGGGGTCTGCAGGGGACAAGGTAGCTGGCCTCAGGGAAAGAAATTAGTAGGATGTTTTACTTTCAAATTTTGGAGAACTCAGTTGTTAACATCTGTGACATGTTCCTATGCCCAGTTTGATGTTTTTAGGTTTCTAGTGAGTAATTTTTAAAGATGCCTGAATATTTCTCCCCTACTGTTTTGTTTTCTTCCTATGGCAAGTACTATTCATCGAGGTTACATTCTTAACCAAAATAAATGTATCTGTGCAGCTTCTTATAGACCTTAAAACCCATGCTTTAAATTTTTCACAACTTTCCTGATCCTGAGGGGGGATCAGAGACTTTATCTATAAATTTACAGAAACAAGAAGGGAAAAGATACTTAGGATCCCCTGGATTACAGTTGGAACACATAACTAGTCACTTCTAGTATGTACTAGAATGTATTTTAATCTACAGTCTTGATTATATTCCATTTAAAAATGATATTTTAATCTTTAAATTTACTGCTGTTCACCATTCTTCTGTAAACTAGAAAACACAATTTCAGCTGTTGAAGCCCAGGACTTGGAAAAATCTTGACAAAATGCTGCAATTTCTTTTCTTGCCAAGGCAGAACACAGAATTTGATCTTTTGTTTACAGAGGGCCCAGACAAGTTGCAGGTTATCATTTGCTTTTTCTTTCAGAGAAAATGGCAAAGTGTGTGATTAACATGCTGTACTAGAAAGGGCCTTGCTCGGTTATGTTTGTTTTCTGCCTTTGTCAAAGTCTGCAGAAATTTTGAAAGAATAGAAAATGTCCAGGTGTATTGCAAAAGCCACAAGACTTCTTGTGATGAGCTCAGACAAGATGTCAGCATCTGTGGAGCTGTGTTTACTGAGGTTCTTTCTGGAATGCTACAGCAGGGGTGAACCGAGAGGCTGGAGCAACAAACCAGGGAATCCCCTCTGCGGATCAGAGCGCATTCACAAATCTACCTCCCAAAATCATACTCCTGTGCTCACAGAGAAAAAAGGGACTAATGCAAAGTCAATTTAAGAGCATTCAATAATCTAATGAGTTACAAGTCTACCTGGCCAAACTCATTATTAACTGTTTTGTTCCTAAGGGGATCTGTGTTCTGTCAGGCTTTCATAAAGTAGTTAGCTAAATGTATTTTAAAATTTAGTATGCATTGTATAAGGGGGAAATAATGGCCTAGAAATGAAATGTGTTTATTGAGGATCCATTTGTTTCTAGCATTCTATTCCTTATAGTTATTTTGGTTAAATTGCTACAATCTGTGGTTTTGAAAAACAGCCCTTAAAATAATTTTTCCTGAGTCAATTAACCTTATTTCACTGAAATAAAATACTTTGAAACTTTTTATGACTTTACTTGATTAAAAATTGTATGTTTTAGAATTATTTTAATTATCATAGTAAAATTTCTTCTGTTTCTTCATATTTTACAAACTAGAGTTCTCTTTGGTAATTCTTTAATGTATCAAAGCACATCTTAGCTTGCAAGTGTAGTGAGTTTGTAATGAGGTCATGCTTTTACACAGTTTTATGGCTGGTTTGACACACTGAAATATAAGAAGGTCAAGTGACTTGCCCAAGATCTTACCATGAGTCAGTGATGGGGTATAAAATAGAGCTTGTGCCTTTGCTCAGGGGCTCTAGTATTAGATTATATATCAGTAAAAATCAGTATCTAAGAAATTTTAGAGGCACAATATTAAGGGTTTGCCTATTTCATAGACGATCAGATGCTTCTGACTGACTACTTAGGTAACTGAGTTTTCATGATCAGATAGACTCCTTTAAGTGAATAAACTTCCTAATTTATGAAGAGATCAGGAACCAGGAAAATAAGGCACATTATGGTAATATCATAATTTACTGAGAAGCAAAAAGCCTATGGAACATTCTGTGATGTTTAGAGGAAATGGTTCTATAAGAAATTATTTAAATCAAATAATGCTAAATGGAAGAAAAGTAGAAAGAATGAAGCCCTAGGCCAGGAGACTTAGAAATGAATTGTCATTTCTGTCATTAACCAGATCCATCACTCCACCCCTGTAAGAGTGACAGAATATAAATGTAATAACTGTACATACCCACAGGTAAAATAAGAGGTTTGAGCTTGATGTAAAATTCCTTCGGGCTATAAAACCATTGATTTTATGACTATGAAATATGCATATATGTCATATATGAGTATATGTATGAAGATGAAGAGGGGAAAGTTGAGAAATGAAAACAGCTTAAAAAATAATATTTACTAAGTATTGTCTATGGCCAGGCCCAGTATAGATGTAGTATTTCATCTTCCTGCCCAACCTGTAAGGAAGGTACCATTTTCATCCTTATGAGGAAACTGAGGCACAATTCAGTGGCTTGCCTAATTTAAGTGGTAGGATTCAAAAATCAAGCTGAGAGCCCAAGCATGTAAGCATTGCACCGTAACTATGTCTTGTAATTTAATAGAATTTATTTTTAATTTAGTTGAAGGGAGAGGGGAAGTGCAAAGATTAGGATTCAATATTGGTTTTTACAAAGATGTTTCTTACCCATGGCTCTATCTCCCACACAAGGAACAGAGTGTAAAAGAAACCCAAAGCAAAGCATTTACTTTGTAATACTTTTCTAGTTAGAGGAAAATTCTCATTTTGTTTCTGAGGCCTAGAGAGTTATTAAGGAGATTTGCTCACTGTCAAACACCAGTTGAAAACTCTACACTTTCATCAAAGGAGGTGACTGATGGTTCCCTGATCTCAGTCCTGAGGCCATGATGTCTTTCCAGAGTTGGCATTTCAAATTCATCTTTAACAAAATTGTCCCTGAAGCAAAGCCCGATTTAAAGGCATCAATTAATACAAAACAGAAGCATGGCCCTAACTTTCATGAGGATATATCCAGAGAATATATTTGCATATTGAGGTCTACCTCGGAACAAGATTCCATTTCAATATCATTTATTGTCCCACACACTTTTCTAGACACTGTGAATACAGCAGACTATCTCCTTTAATGGAACTTATCTTCTTTTTGAGAATGACTGCACGTGGAGTGGGGGAGAGTGGATGGAAGAAGGGAGTTGTTTTGATGGTACATAACCAGCCTAAATCCATTCACAATATATACTAACTGTCAATTGTGTCTTCATGGCTGGATTATCAGAGGATTTTCCTCAAGAAATTTATAATCACAACCTGGTCATCTCCTGACCTCTCAGAGAAAAAATGTTGTCCGCTACCTCTCCACCATCCCCAACTCCCTTCTTCTCCACCTCATGGTCTACCAGTACTTTGAGGAATTCCCACCCTTTAGGGATTAAGGTAGGGATCCTTTAGGATTCCCTACCTTACCACCCATGTCCATTTACCAGAACAGATTCTTGCTGTGTGAGTAGATTTATATTTCATTAAAGTCATGGGATTATTATAAAAGCTTTATTATCTCTATCAGTAAATAGAACATTTGACCTATCTTCCCATTTTAAATTTCGCTGTTTTGTTGTTACTGTTATCTTTATGAATGACTCTTACAGGTAAGGAGGAATAGAGGAAGCATTCTTACAGTTAAATTTGATACTGCCTAGCATGTGCAAAGCTCTGGGTTCTAGCCCCAACACTGAAAAACATTGAAACTGTGTATGTTACCATCAGCATGTAATAAGCAAGTATTAGGCCATGATTTTTTACCAGGAGAAAAATAGCGATTTTAGCAGGCAGCATGTTTAGTTAGTATTCTGTGATTTTAAGCGAGTCATAGACTAATTGACTTGCATGTTCTAGCTTGCTTGCAGAGGTCATCAGTTTATTCAGTTAGTAGTCTAATATGCAGTATTTCCAAACAACACCACTTACCTTGCACTGTACACCTCCTTCTTGTTCTGCTAAGACTCTTTCTTTGTATAGTAAAGGGCACATCTTGCCCTCCATTCACAGGGCTGATGCTTGTTTTGTTAGTGGCTGTGGGGATGGATTTTCACTCATCTATTCCCTCTCTGGCCCAGCCACCCTTGTGACCAAGGTCATGAATGTGCAACCCAGCACGTTGGAGTCAGGGATAGAGAACTAGAACATAGCAAAATAATTGGCCATTAATACAACTGGATCCATCACTTGGACCTCATTAGCTCTGTGCTTTAACCAACTGAGTTCTTGAATCACAGACAGCCAATGGTTATACAGACTTAGAGACTGAGCATGTGAAGTCAGATAGTAAGATGCCCAGTGGGATAAAATCAGACTTCTGTGCTTTAGTTGTTTATAGTAAATTCAAGCTGATAAAAAAAAATGCAGTTGTCCCAGATATGGCAAAGAAATGAAAAAAAGGGGGAGAAAGTGCAAATGAACTATTGTACAATGTATTTGTTTGTTGTGTTGCTTTTGAGACAAGGTTTC